CAAAACGAGCTGTTGTTCTTTATTTGTCATCTGCGTAGCATCATTCTGTCTGCTGCCAGCGTCAGGGATGTTCTACTCCCTAGAGGGATAACAGTAAGATGGTTGAATATCCACACAGTGCAATTGGACCCAGGTTAAGCACAACCAAAGTTTACGAGAACAATGTGCCGTCCGTGGACTGGCATAGCTTAAAGAACTTCAAAGCCTTTTGAAAGGTTTGTGAAAGTTTCTTTTCTCTCTCTCTCGTTCTCTCTCCAAACAGTTGAACAGCACCAGAAAGCACAGGACAGATATATAAACAAATTCATTTTTCAGAAAACAAAATCTGAATGACTTCTATTTATACATTCAGAATGCGTGTCTGTGAACTGCTCATAGCATGTCTAACACAATTTTGACAGTGCTATAGAATATTTTTTAATACAGTTTGCTCCTTTTTTCTTTCTTTCTTTGTGTTGCATTGTGTATGCAACTGAAAATCAATTTAATCCTTGTTAGTGTGATGAGAATGTGAAAACGAGAAAACGGAGCAGTTGGAGCTCCACCTCAGAACGCTCTGACAGGAGTGGAGCTTTATGTCGTTTAATGAGTACATTCATCACAGTATCCTTGTGTTGAAGCAGATGAATTATTTTTGTATTTGATTTCTAAAATGAATTCCATATATACTCAGAGACCAAATCATCAGCCTGTGTGCCTTGAAGTATCATCCTGACCAACCTGTGTGAAGGTAGCCTTAACAAACCTGTGGACCAAGTCCAGTTTGATCTTAACTGACTCTTTGATGCTGTTTGTGGTAGTTGTACATATGACTTTGTTTATGTTTTTTGTCAGCCTGTCTTTTCTACTATATTTGTTCCCAGAAAGACTCTCAATAAAGGTAAATGATAGCCATTTCATAAGATTATTCATTTATTTCTAATTACTTTCTCTGTCTTGTATTGTTTTATTTCAGCTAATTTACCACAGCTTCCTCTCATATCTAAATTACTGAGTGCCGACATGTAATGTGTTCTTTCCTTTATCATCAAAATATTGCACTGACAGATATACAGCATTAAGAAGATTTTTATTGTCCACAGGAGTTGACACAGTAAAGCTGATCCAAAGCAAATGCAAAACAGTACAAAAGAAAATGATCAAACATTGATTAGACTACTAATAGTTACAAATGAGTCATCTATACTGTGGCTGTAACCACTTCATTATCACTTTGGCACATTTTACAAGAAACTCTTCATTTTTGCATTAATCTTTGAAAATAGTCACAGCAAGTTTGCAAAGATTTTTTTTAAAGCTGCAGATGAAAAGATTTTCCTTCAGATTTTCTTGCATTAAAAAAAAAATCTTTCTGCAACACTAATAACAGAAAACCAAGCAACAATAAACATTGTGGTGGTTGATCTGTGATCAGTGGTTTAAAACATTTTCCAATGGACATTTTTCATTAAAGTAAAGTGTAGTGTATAAGCAGTTAAAGTAACACTGTGCATACACCAAACACAAACAGATACACTTTAAACCCCTCAGCATACACAAAGCTATCCAGTTACTACAGCACAACAAAGAAGAAGATCTGCGTCAGATTCCTTGTGCTCTTCTGTTTCCCAGAGAGCTAGAGCCATTAGCTTATTAGCATTTTAGCTGTAAACATTCATTGGCTGTGACCGCCCTCTAACCATCACTTTGCCATTACCATTAGTCGTCGTAATGTCTGTCAGGCAGTGAGTCACCCCATGTGAAAAGTCGGGTGCATGATGGTTATCACGGTGTTACCCAAGGCACTCGAACCAGCAGCCATTTTGTTGCATTGTCATCGCAGGCCAGCTGTTTGTTTGTTTGTTTTCATCATATAAAATGTTTACTAGAGTGTCATGTCTCCTGGCCAAGCTGCAAGGATACACCTCAGTGTCGAGCACGTGTCCAGAGAAAAAGAGGTTTTGAAAGGGAAAAACAAAGTTGTGGTGACTGATGAGGCAGGAACCAATTTCTTCTTTGAGTGTAAAGAATTTTCCATTTGTCATTTTTCTGTAGAGATGAGAAACACAGATGAGTCAGCATCATAACACTTTAGATAAGAAGACACTGGTGTGTGCATATGTGTGGTGATCTCCAGTGAAAATCTGAGTGTGTGTTAAGGTTGTAAAATCTGTGTGCAAACAAACGAACACTTCAGTTTAGTGGAAAATGGAAAAATCCCTACAGCTCCTTAACTTCTCTTGTTTTAACAAGCAAACATTTCATCTGGCTCTTTCTCAGTTCTCCCTAATTACAGTGTGTGTCTTTCCATGCTTCACGAAAGACGGAGAGAGAAGTCCAGCAGGCAGAAGTTAGACTTATGTTTGTGGCTGCTGTCCCATCACATGACTGTCATTATGTCATAAAAAGCATGATAGTTTAAATTGACAAAGGCATTTCTATGTCTTGTAATGGGACAAGCTCTATTCTGCTGTTCACATTTGCTTTTTATACAAAGACTGCAAGACATACTGCCTCTCATTTTAATATTTAAAGTCAATGCTTAACAATTTAGTGAAATCATTTTTGATGCTGAAGCAGCCATTGAATGTATTTATAATCTTTCTATATGGTAGTTTTTATTGGTAGTGCCAGCGTTTGCTATTCCAAGCCTGAATTCATACAGCCTACATGACCATGAGGAATTCACAGGAAAAATTTGTAAAGAAAACATGTTTAGAAAGGTTTTGGGGGAGGTGTTTTTATTTGGCACTTTAAAAATGATTTAAACCTGTAATTTAATTAATTTAATTGCAAAGAACTCTTTCTGTGTCAGTGGTTTGTATGTGCATGTGAATGTTTGACAGATCCTCATACATTTTGGATTTCACTTATGTGGCATTTAGTTGCCTACGTGTCAAACCAGAAGTCATTCCCCCATGGTGTTCTGTTCCTGTGGCTGCGTGAGCAAAAGCAAAGCATATACATACAAATACATGCACAAGCGCATACACACACATTAACATACAGTACACACACATTCAACCCTCCCACCTGCGCTTGGCCCACAGTTTGTCTGTCTAAAAATAAAGATGACTATCAGAAGCCGCAACTTCTAGATGAAGCTTATAAAAACGCAGATGAGCCGCAAAGGACTTTACATCTGGTCCAGGATCAGTCCTGAGTGAAATCCAGAAATTTTAAATGCTCAGAAGAGCATCCAACAGCTGGTCAGTCCAAACTGTATAACACACACACACACACGGACACAGCAGAACCAGAAGTCCCGGCAGAGGAAAGAGCAGTGACAGGCATTTTGATTGTAGTATAAACTGAAGGGAGAGTATTGTTTTTTCCAAGTCAAAGAGAACAATCCTCTCATTCTAAAAGTCTCCTGCTGAGCCAGACACCCACACACACCCTGAAATCATGCTCATCAAAATGCACAAAACTGTCCAAGATGCGTTCACACTCATGTGTGTGCACGGTGTAACCTCTCAAAGAAAATACTGTGGGTTCTTCTACACTGAAAGTGCAGATTATTGGGGATAGTGCTCTTTCTGATGGTGTGAAGCCAACTAAAGCCAATTATTCAGTTATCTCCTTTGTAAAAACTTTGTGGACGGGCAAAATAACAGGATCATAATTAGAGCCTCAAAAATGACCATTGAATTAATTCTCTGACGCAGTTAAAAGAAAAAAAAACATTGAAGACATTATACATTTCTTCACAAGCGTTTCAGTTATTTTGTCCACTCCCTGCACACCACCTACCATAGAGGAGATGCAGATAAATAGGGACAGGGTTTTCACAGAACCATCATTTCAGTTACAATCTTGCTTTCTCACCCACTTTAGATATTCATGATTATGACTGATACACTAAGCCAAGCGTGTATATATAACCTCTTAAATATGCCTACCCTTTTAAATTAAGCCTCACATATGCATGCATGCACACTTTGTCTTTGAAGTTTTCCTGACTCTTTATAACCTCGTCTTGTCCCTAAAATTGGACATTCACTTTGAACATTAGCAAAAGTCACTGAATTTCTAGCACGTTCTGTGGCGGCAGAGCAGGCAAAGTAATAACTACCGCGTTACGTTCAAGGACACTCGATGCCAAGTGCAGAGGCCTTGGCTTTCCATCCACAGAGCTGACTGGAGTCCTCACCATCTGCTGCAGAGGCCATTGGAGGTTTATTAATAACGCAGAGTAGAACACCTGCAGTGTGCACATGGCCACGTGCGAGTGTGTGTCTGGAGAGTGTAGTGTATAGATGTTGCATGTAGCATGTATTATTTGAGATTTTCCTTCACAATGAATAACATGAGCATAATCACTTACATGTCTGCTCAAAAACCTGTGTTAGTGTGTGTCTGTTTGCAATGTGTTTACCTTGAACTGTCATCCAGCTGATTAAATGTGTGTACTCGCTCCAGCACAGCAACACAGACTGCACCTCATCATATTTCACCCCAGCGCTCTTTTTTCATGTAAATCCTTATATGTCATTTTATTTTGAAGGATTGCCTGATTGGCTTTTCGCAGACATGTAACTCTAAGTCTTACAAATCTAAAACAAGGAGATGAGGAAGATAAAATCACTGAAATCTCCACGTGTATTATCCTGTACTGATGAGCATGCTGCTGCACGGCTAATTAAAGTCCACTACAAACACAAACACACACAAGCACACATGTACATACACTGACAGACAGCCCCATGTGCCTGACCCTAACCCTGGTACACACACCTTCCTAATACCTCACAACTGTTTCCAATCTAAAGGTTCCTGCTTGTCTGGGCCTCGGCGGGGCCTGATTGCACGACACAAGATCCTGAAGAGAGAGGGCAAGGCTGCAGGGGAGAGCGAGAGAGAGAGAGAGAGGCAGGGAGTGATGTCTCCACTCTTTTTTCCTTACTCTCCCTTTCTTTCCCTCCTTTCATGCTGTA